GCAATAAACATGGATGTGCAGGTGCCTCTGGAGTAACAGTCTTTTGGGTATATCCCCAAGAGTGGTATTGCTGGATCAAATGGTAGATCGATGTCCAGCTTTTTAAGTAGCCTCCAAATTTTTTTCCAGAGTGGTTGTACTAGTCTACATTCCCACCAACAGTGTAAGAGGGTTCCTTTTTCCCCGCATCCTCGCCAACACCTGTTGTTGGTGGTGTTGCTGATGATGGCTATTCTAACAGGGGTGAGGTGGAATCTTAGTGTGGTTTTAATTTGCATTTCCTTTATTGCTAGAGATGGTGAGCATTTTTTCATGTGTTTTCTGGCCATTTGAATTTCTTCTTTTGAGAAAGTTCTGTTTAGTTCACTTGCCCATTTCTTTATTGGTTCATTAGTTTTGGGAGAATTTAGTTTTTTAAGTTCCCTATATATTCTGGTTATCAGTCCTTTGTCTGATGTATATTGGCAAATATTTTCTCCCACTCTGTGGGTGTTCTCTTCAGTTTAGAGACCATTTCTTTTGATGAACAGAAGCTTTTTAGTTTTATGAGGTCCCATTTATCTATGCTATCTCTTAGTTGCTGTGCTGCTGGGGTTTCATTGAGAAAGTTCTTACCTATACCTACTAACTCCAGAGTATTTCCTACTCTTTCTGTATCAACTTAGAGTTTGGGGTCTGATATTAAGATCCTTGATCCATTTTGAGTTAATCTTGGTATAGGGTGATATACATGGATCTAGTTTCAGTTTTTTGCAGACTGCTAACCAGTTTTCCCAGCAGTTTTTGTTGAAGAGGCTGCTATTTCTCCATCGTATATTTTTAGCTCCTTTGTCAAAGATAAGTTGCTTATAGTTGTGTGGCTTCATATCTGGATCCTCTATTCTGTTCCACTGGTCTTCATGTCTGTTTTTGTGCCAGTACCATGCTGTTTTTATTTATTGCTTTGTAATATAGTTTGAAGTCAGGTATTGTGATACCTCCTGCATTGTTCTTTTGACTGAGTATTGCCTTGGCTATTCGTGGCCTCTTGTGTTTCCATATAAATTTAACAGTAGATTTTTCAATCTCTTTAATGAATGTCATTGGAATTTTGATGGGAATTGCATTAAACATGTAGATTACTTTTGGGAGTATAGACATTTTTACTATGTTGATTCTACCAATCCATGAGCATGGGAGATCTCTCCACTTTCTATAGTCTTCCTCAATCTCTTTCTTCAGAAGTGTATAGTTTTCCTTGTAGAGGTCTTTCACATCTTTTGTTAGGTTTACACCTAGGTATTTGATTTTTTTTGAGGCTATTGTAAATGGAATTGTTTTCATACATTCTTTTTCCAGTTTGCTCATTGTTAGTGTATAGAAATGCTAATGATTTTTCTATGTTGATTTTATATCCTGCTACCTTGCTATAGCTATTGATGATGTCTAGAAGCTTCTGAGTAGAGTTTTTTGGGTCTTTAAGGTATAGGATCATGTCGTCTGCAAATAGGGATATTTTGACAGTTTCTTTACCTATTTGTATTCCTTTTATTCCTTCTTCTTGCCTAATTGCTCTGGCTAGGAATTCCAGTACTATGTTGAATAGGAGTGGAGATAGTGGGCATCCTTGTCTGGTTCCTGATTTTAGAGGGAATGGTTTTAATTTTTCTCCGTTAAGTATAATGCTGGCTGTAGGTTTGTCATATATAGCTTTTATAATGTTGAGGAACTTTCCTTCTATTCCTAGTTTTCTTAGAGCTTTTATCATGAAATGATGTTGGATCTTATCAAAGGCTTTTTCTGCATCTATTGAGATGATCAAGTGGTTTTTGTCTTTGCTTCTGTTAATGTGGTTTATTACGTTTATTGATTTTCGTATGTTGAACCACCCCTGCATCCCTGGGATGAAGCCTACTTGGTCGTGGTGAATAATCTTTTTGATGTGTTGCTGAATTCGTTTGCCATTATTTTGTTGAGGATTTTTGCATCAATGTTCATTAAGGAGATTGGCCTATAGTTCTCCTTTTTGGAGGTGTCTTTGCCTGGTTTTGGGATAAGTGTAATACTGGCTTCATAAAATGTGTTGGCAGTTTTCCTTCCCTTTCTATTTCATGGAACAGTTTAAGGAGGGTTGGTATCAGTTCTTCTTTAAAGGTCTGATAGAATTCAGCAGAGAATCCATCAGGTCCTGGACTTTTCTTTTTGGGGAGACTCTTGATTGCTGCTTCAATTTCATTTTGTGTTATAGGTCTATTCAGGTGATTAATTTCCTCTTGGTTCAGTTTTGGATGATCATATGTATCTAGAAATCTGTCCATTTCTTTTAGATTTTCAAATTTATTTGAATATAGGTTCTCAAAGTAGTCTCTGATGATTTCCTGGACTTCCATGGTGTTTGTTGTTATCTCCCCTTTTGCATTCCTGATTCTACTAATTTGGGTTTTTTTCTCCTCATTTTAGTCAGGTTTGCCAGGGGTCTATCGATCTTGTTTATTTTTTCAAAGAACCAACTTTTTGTTTCATTAATTCTTTGTATGGTTTTTTTGGTTTCTATTTCGTTGATTTCAGCTCTTATTTTTATTATTTCTCTCCTTCTATTTGTTTTGGGATTTGCTTGTTCTTGTTTTTCTAGGAGTTTGAGATGTATCATTAGGTCATTGATTTGGGATCTTTCAATCTTTTTAATATATGCACTCATGGCTATAAACTTTCCTCTCAAGACTGCCTTAGCTGTGTCCCATAGGTTCTGGTAGGTTGTGTTTTCATTTTCATTGACTTCCAGGAACTTTTTAATTTCCTCTTTTATTGCATCGATGATCCATTCTTCATTAAGTAATGAGTTATTTAGTTTCCAGCTGTTTGCATGTTTTTTGTCTTTACTTTTGTTGTTGAGTTCTACTTTTACTGCATTGTGGTCAGATAGTATGCATGGTATTATTTCTATTTTCTTATATTTGCTGAGGCTTGCTTTGTGCCCTAGGATATGATCTATTTTGGAGAAGGTTCCATGGGCTGCTGAGAAGAATGTATATTGTGTAGAGGTTGGATGAAATGTTCTGTAGACATCTACTAGGTCCACTTGATCTATTGCATATTTTAGATCTTGGATTTCTTTATTGAGTTTTTGTTTGGATGACCTATCTATTGATGATAATGGAGTGTTAAAGTCTCCCACAACCACTGTGTTGGCGTTTATATATGCTTTTAGGTCTTTCAGGGTATGTTTGATGAAATTGGGTGCGTTGACATTGGGTGCGTACAGATTGATGATTATTATTTCCTTTTGGTCTATTTCCCCTTTTATTAGTATGGAATGTCCTTCTTTATCTCGTTTGATCAATGTAGGTTTGAAGTCTACTTTGTCAGAGATAAGTATTGCTACTCCTGCTTGTTTTCGGGGGCCATTGGCTTGGTAAATCTTCTTCCAGCCTTTCATCCTAAGCATATGCTTATTTCTGTCAGTGAGATGAGTCTCCTGTAAGCAACAAATTGTTGGATCTTCTTTTTTAATCCATTTTGTCAAACGGTGTCTTTTGATGGGTGAATTAAGTCCATTAACATTAAGTGTTAGTACTGATAGGTATGTGGTGATTCCTGCCATTTAGTTATCTTAGTTGTTTGAAGGTTTGATTGTGTGTACCTAACTTGATGTTACTCTCTACTGTCTTGCTTTTTCTTATCCTGTGGTTTGGTGTTGCCTGCCTTTTCATGGTTAAGTTGGGTGTCACTTTCTGTGTGCAGGATCCCTTGCAGAATCTTTTGTAATGGTGGCTTTGTGGTCACATATTGTTTTAGTTTCTGCTTATCATGGAAGACTTTTATTGCTCCATCTATTTTGAATGATAGCTTTGCTGGGTAGAGTATCCTGGGGTTGAAGTTATTTTCATTCAGTGCCCGGAAGATCTCACCCCACCTAGTTTTTCTTAGAAACCTGGCTAATAAATCCTTTGCATTTGATTATCTTAGTGAAGGTAGTTTATAAATTGTTACATTTCCAGTGTATGTCTGTTGGTCACAGTGTACTGGAATTGTGCAGTCTGTTTCTAATTGTTCTCAGAACTATTTAGCTACTAACTAGCAGAAGCTCATTTTCTTTCCTCCTCCCCTGTGTTATGACCCATGTTATGACTGCTGTACATGTGAATTTTGCCAATGAAAGCTTTGAAAGGCTATCTGGAGAGGTGTATCATTATAGGAACTGTATTGTCAGTGCAAAGGCAATTTCATATAGACGTGATATTGTAAGAAAAATGATCTTTTCTATCAGAGTATTTGTTACCCTCTTAGATTACTTAAAATTCCTCAGGTCGCCATCTTAGGTGACTTGCATGTTTAAAGGGTCCTTGCTTCTTCTTCCGGATTACCATATGACTATTGCCCACCAAACTGTATGCCCTAACCCATCCCCCAAGCCTTTGAGCCAAGCGAGGGAGATTGTGAACTTCTGACCTGGACAAATCCTGGGTTAGGAGCAGGTACAACTGCATCAGAGATGTAAGGAGGAGCCACCGTTGGCCATTTTGTGCTTGCGTGTTTGCTTAGCTGGAGTGAGCACATGCTTGCATCCTTTTGATCAAAAGAAATTGCCTTGTCAAGATTTTCTCTGTCCCTTGTGTGTCTGTTTTCAGCACCAGAGGGTTACTAATTCCAACAATATGAAGAGGAACAGCCACTTTATTAGGGCATCAGAAGTGAATGTGCACTTTGAAGGAAGTGCTTCATCAGTGTATTCAGATGCAAGTGTCCTTTATCACTAAAATCAATCCCCTCCCACTACATAACAGCAAATAGTTAACTAATGTGAATACTTGTTGAATATTTTTTAATGAAAATTTTCTTAAATCTTGTTACCTATAGGGTAAGATTTCTAAAACCAGGAAAAATCAAACATCAGTTTAAAGACCAATCAGAAGAGTTAAATAAGTTTGTCTTCAAGTTTGAGTCAAGCCATTTCATCTTTTAAAGTAAAATATTTAAAATGCTTTTAAGATAAATTTTATAAATATTTACAAAATGTAGATATTTTATTTGGTGCTTTGTTCACGCAGGTATATATAATGTGATATACAATCACCTACTCCAAATATTTTAACCCCCTACAATTAAAAACAAGACAAAAAAATTCTTTAAAGGTTATTCACAATATGGAAACAGAAAGGGAACAAGGGAACCATTTACAACTTAATGAAAATTTTTTATTTTTTTAGACTTTTTCAAATCTGAGTCTCACGTGAATTGACTTCTGTATTTAAGTACATACATAAAAGACTTGGAGGAGTAACAGTACTCTAGCAGGATAAAAGATAAAAATCCCTCTTTTTTTCCCTAGCTTCCAGTTTGACAAGAGGGATTATCTAACAAAATCCTGTTCAGGAAAACAGCTTTCCTAGTTCTGTGCTTTCAAACCACCCTGGCTGTATATAAATCTTAATACACCACATGCTGCATTACCCTTATAACTTCTAGCAAAGCTACAGGTTCCAGTCTGGCACTTCAGGTAATGACAATGACCAAAAAAATGCTTGAAGACCAAAGTAAAAATTTATCTTCCGAGATTTCTTGAAGCAGATTGTCAGATCAAACTCTTTAGCTTAATAAAATATGAAAACAACTGTCATCCTATCATTTAAAGGATTACACTCAAATGAACTATAAAATGGACTTGGCTGACATTGGTTCTTCCATAAACACATTTAATATAAAACTATATTTCTAGCAAAGATTAGTAATTGGAAGGATCTTTTACTCCATTATCTCCTAGTCTTCTAGTTTATGTGGTATTAAACTCTTTGCACCAATTACTTAGCTGTTTTTAAAAGGCAATCTGCTTTAAACTCTCAAAATCAGTAGCAAAGGAAGCATATCACTTATTCTAATCATTAACACTAAGAAAACTTAAATCCCACTGAAATGTTTTTTTTTAATGAGAGTTTTTAAAAATAGTGCATACAAGGCACAAGAGCTTCTGAGTAGATTTACTGAAGCCAACATTTTTTTGGCATCAAAAAATGCATCATTTTAGTTTATCTTAAACTAAATTTCCAAACAGCACACCATTTAGTTCACATTGAACTACATTTCCAAAAGAATATTGTTTTTGTTTAATGATTTGCATAATCTAATCTTCATAGGGGTTTGAAGAAACATATAGTTTAACTTTCATAGTTTTATGAGAGGATACAACATATCATTGGAGAAATAATCCATGAATCCATCAGGAATTCTCCATAGAAATTCAGTATTTCCACTATGTCCCATAGGATAAATAGCCTAAAAAGAGATTTTACAAGAGCCAAACTGACAGTCTTCATAATTGTTGCCATAGATTTCCTCTCCCCAATTTAAGACTAGAAGAGATGAATATATATTTGTGAGGTAACAGAATTACTTTGTTATAACACTGTATTAGTTCTGACAAAAGTTTTCTAGCTAACTGTTTTGAAAAGTAAGCATCAGTGTTCATACTTATTTTCCAATAGGGAACAAAGACTAGAATTAGAATTAAAATCTGGCAAAAAATGGATGGTGATTGTCAGCTGTAGGCCACTTGGACTTGTAATCAATTCATAGTGACTACAGTTCTCATGATCAGAGGTGAATTCAACTCAGAGGGAAAAACCAAATGAAGTCTGATTTCTTACCTTCTTCCTAAAGGTAACAATAGGTTTCATTTTTTAAAAAAGCTTATCGTTATAATGTGACTTGAAATCTTTTAAATTTTAAACAACATTAGTCTAAATCAGAAAATCAAATGATTAATGGAATTTTATGTGATCAACTGTGGTGAAAACTGACCTATGAATTTATTCCCAGGTTTTGATAGAAGATGTTTTCCCCTTGGTGCATAAGTCATAATTACTTTTATATTAATAGGACTTTGTATTGGTTGTAACAGTTTGTATACTGAAGCAAAAAATGTGTTATATTTAAGCAGTAGCTTAGAGATAACTAATCAATTAGTATTCTCCAAACCCAAGCCTGAGATTATAGTCCAGTGATAGAGTGCTTGCCTAGCATGTGCAAGGCCCTGGGTTCAATCACCAGTAGGGAAGACAAGGAAAAAACAAATAAAAAATGTAAAATTGCATATCCAGCCAAAGGGATGCAGGGACAACTCAACTGGCCAATGGCACCTTCCTGTGAGAAGCCTCTTCCATCCTTCTACAGCAGTGGTTCCTTGAAATGAAATGGAAAACATGAAAATATTCTGTTAACCATAAAAAAGCTAAGCCATTCATTTATTATTTGTTGCAATAGCATAGATCCGTTGTTCAAAATTGTTTTCTATGCTAGAAACATTTGGTTATTAATACTACTAATGTCACCGTATTCAAATGTAATAGCTTCTGTGAGGTTTTTTTTTTTTTTTTTTTTTGGTGGTGGAACTCAAGGCCTCACACTTGCTGGGCAGGTGCTCTATCACTTAAGCCACTCCCTAGCCCTCTGTGAGAGGGCTTCAGTGTGTGGTTGCTTACCTATCAAATATTTATTGACAAACGACTATGTTTCTGGCACTGTGCAAGGTGTTGGGGATAATAACTAACAAATACAACACTAGTCTGTATCAAAATACCAGGACATCAGGATGACTTCTATGCAATATTATCATGCCAACAGTAAATATTTAATGCATAGAAAAATTTATAATACTGACCTCACAAACAATGGTAATTATAACTAATGATTCAAAATGCTGAAAACTGTCCTGTGAAATTTTACGCTTTACATATGTTCTGCAAAATATTTTATCTGCAGCATTAGCTAGGGGTTCATATTTCTACACTTACAGTTACAGTCTTAGGATTATTTCCAGAAAGTTAATAATGTCTCTTTACATTTAACCAAATTCAGAAGATTGAGTTTTCACTATTCCAACCATAGTCATGGTCAGTCTGATCTACTGTACATCCCATGTTCAGAGCTGATCCTGGGCTTCCCAAAACCGAAACACTAGTCAACTGGAAAATTATCATATCTGCATTTTGCTTTTAATTACCTGGCTGTTCCTTAAAGCCAAAACAAAAGAAACAAATAAAAAATCAGGTATCTAAGAAGTATCTTGACACAAATTATTTTGCTTTGATGCTTCTGTTAGACTTTAGGATTCTAGATTTCAGTTTTGTAAATAGAGAACTGTTCTTGATAACTTTAAAGTGCAACTTTTTATACTGTGTTTATATGATACTACATATAGTTGTTTTGTTTAGATGCAATGGATTTATTTTAAAGGAAGTCCTTATTGTAGTTTAATATTGACTATAGGGCTTATAAATTAGGTTTTAAGGACTTAGAACTACAGGTATTTTTTTTTTTGAAAAATTACAATTTAAGGAGAGTGATTTGAAGCCTGGCATGGTGTCTATAATCCAAGCTACTCAGGAGGCAGAGATCAGGAGGAACTCAGTCCAAGGCCAGCATGGGCAAAAAGTTATCACTACACTGAAACAAGCCAGGTGTGATGGTTCATGTCTATAATCCCAGATGTGGGGAAGTATGGGTAGGAGGACTGCAGTCTAAGGCTATCCCTGAACAAAAGCGAGACTCTACCTAAAAATATAACTAAATCAAAAAGGGACTGGGAGAATAGCTCAAGTAGTACAGCACCTGCCTAGCAAGTATGAGGTCCTAAATTCAAACTTCATACCAACAAAAGTGAAAGAAAGAAAATGATTTGGAACTCTTACTGTTTTAAGGATGACATGTGCCATGAAGGTTCTACTGTGACCAAAAATGAAAGATGACAGTGGTTTGTGCTAACAAAACATAATCATCTTATCCTTGGACCCAGTAATATTTGGCTAATGGATGGTCCAAGGATATGATGACTTCATGTCTGAAGGGACAGAAAAGAAAGATAAATCCTATGACTCTGATCCTATGAAGTGACGATAATTTTCATGTAAAGTTCAGTATTTTAGGATTTTTTTCATTAATACATTAGCATAAAAATGACTTTTTTCATCAACTTATTTCTACAGTTTACCAAGTTGAAGTTAGGTCTATGTCCAGAGCACTGGCATGGTTAATGTGATCTAACAGGTCAAGTAACATGTCCTCTAATGTGAGTCACTCAAAAATAAATATTAGTTATGGAAAGTATTGCCTCTGAGAAAACTAAAAAACTTAAAAATATAAAACATAATGATAAAGGGAAATCTTACTTTTATAAAGTGTGAATTTACTTTGCTTGAAGAGTTAAGTCTCATTCTCCATGGTTAATGCAGGATTGCTCATACCTTAAAAAAGAACACAAAGATGTTTTTATTATTTTGAACAAATAGGCAGAGACTTCTTTATTTATCTATAAATAATTCTTGCAAAGATGCAAGAATGTTTATTTGTAAAATGATTTATTATATAAAGACTCTCATATTCACTCACACACTGTACAGTGCCAGTCACAAACAGTATCACATACATACATACAAAACACCAAAAACTAGAGCTACACACCTGAGGAAATAGGGTAACATAATAATGAAAGATATATTGAGCCTGATGTTGTTTACATTTAATTTCCTAATTCTTCATCTACCTATATCATCCTAGTCAAAGTAATCTTTAGGCCCTCTCTCATCTGATCATTCTCATGTTTTTTTTTCCCTTCCTATAACCCTTTAAAGTTAAGTTTCTCAATTCATCCATCGAATGAACAGAAAAATTAATCTAAATGCCAAATAATGAATAACACATTAAAAAAAAAAGAAAGAAAATCTCCTGAGTTAAGGGAGACTGTAAGGTGACTCATGATTCCCTTATGGAAGAGTTTTTTGTCCCTACCCCACCCCAACAACTGACCACAACTATACATCACTTCTTTGCCTCTTAGGAACTGATGGATTCAAAATGGCAAATAGGCGCCATCTCCTTTTGCCTAGGCAATGCCTCATCCTTCCCACAGACAGAAAGTGAAGACAGAGACCAAATTATAAATATTCAAACCATGAGGACCTTCAAAGGGCATATGCAATCTTCAAAAACAAGACTCTTTAAAAAAAAAAAACTTGAATTTTAGGGGAACATGGCCAATTATATATTAAATAATGAGTATAGTTCAGGACTATTTGTTTCTCACTCTCACTAAATCCCAAACAGATTCCAAATAAATCAGTAAATACTTCAAAGTGTAATGAACCAAAGTCAGACAGCATGTAAATTTGAAAACAAAAAAGAAATGCAGAAAAGGTCTAAGGAACTACTAATAGTAGCCAATCTGAAGATTCTCTAGTTGACAGTGACTTAATTGCAAATGTATGATTTTGTACTTATTTACAGGATACCACACACATACCCACACACCTGCATTATAAGCACATTATTTTGTTTAACCCTTACCAGGCTTAAGAAAAAAAAATAATAAAGAAGCTAAGTCTAAAAGAAGTTAGGTAACTTAACACATATCACATTCTAAAGCAGTGCCAAAACTGAGGTTTGTAATCAGGTCTGACTTCAAATCCTTGCTTATTGTTTGCTAATAAACTATATTGACTGAAGAAATCAACAAGTTAGAATCATACCAAGAACAAGAGAAATGTGTGAGAGATAAGAAGAAACCACAGATAGCTAGAGTTATGGTAATTATGCAATCACTCAGACATTTTGAAAATGGATAGACAGAATAAAAGACAGCTACATAATTTAAGATTCTATTTGGATACTTTTCAATCTTCTACTTGAGTTGATTACATTTTTCCATTTTTGTAGTTTATATTTTGAATTTATTGCTCACATGCAGCAATAAAGATTTGGTTCTTTAAAGTGGAAAGAAAAGCAATGTAGAGCCATCTTTTAAAAAATTATTTTCTACAGCTAATAGATATTAAAATACCTCACAAATAGAAGTTTTGAAAAAATTTCTAAATTTACAATGGAAATCTGACTCCAAGGTACAAAACAAAAAATCTGTAAGTACCATAATGGACTTTTCACCACTGTCATCTGTTAAAAATAAGTTGCCAGGCAACTTATTTTAGGCTCATGCCTATAATCCTAGCTATTTGGGAGGCTGAGATTGGGAGGATGGAGGTCCAAGGCCAGCCTTGGAAAATAGTTAGAGACTCCATCTCCAAAGTAACCAGAGCAAAAATGAACTGGAGGTGTAGCACAAGTGGTAGAGAGCGCCTGCCCTGAATTCAACCTTAGTCCCACCAAAATAAAATAAAATGAAGTGAAAAGAAGCTGAATAAGCACACCCTTACCAGCTTTGCCTTTTCCTGGGTTTGTGTTACTCTCTGTCCAACACTGAGAATCAGTAAGAAGATGACTCTGGGACTCTCTCAAAGGCTTGGCAGGAAACTGATGGTTTTCAGGACTGGTAAATAATCATAGCAGGTTAATTCTTTTTATTAGCATACATTAATAGTATTAGGGTGTCTCACTGTTGGAATTCTACAGATGCATACGGTGTACTTTGAACAAATTCACTCCATCCATTACATTCCCTTAGCCCCTCTCCCACTTTTTCAAACAGTACTGGTGGATTTCATTATGGTTTTTTCATATCAATCTATCTATCTTCAGTGTACTTTGATCCTCTTCACTTACCCTCCCCGACCTGCTGATTTCCTCAGTCTCCCTTTTATACTCATATCCCACTATTAATATTATTATTATCATTTTAGGTCTAGATTCACATATGAGCAAAACCACAATATTTGGCTCTTTAAGCTTGGCTTATTTCACTTAACATTATGATCTTCAGTTTCATCCATTTTCCTGCAAATGACATAATTTCATTACTCTTTATGGCTGAATAATACTCCAGTCACAAGGTAACTCTTGTTAGTGTTCTGTCTCCAGTCTCCTTTAATTCTCCTGATTGGTATTTTATTATCAGGTTTATTTTTTAGTTTATTCTATTTATGGAAAATTGTCTCATTTGTGACAGTGACATAAAGTTGGTTAAAAATAAGTTTAGGTGATCATTTAAAGAAATATATTAAACAAAAATATTAATAAAGTGATACACGGATATGGAAAAATTCGAAGGTGATGGTAGGAAGACAGATTTGAGAAAAACTGCCCTCATGTTTCTAAGTGGCCTACATAGTCAGGAACAGAGAATTCTCTATTCCCTGTATAAAACTGAAACAGCAAGCGTGAGCACCATCTTGCAGGAATATTAAAAACATCTGTCATTTAAATCTGATGCTCAGTTTGAGGACTGAAGAGTCTTAAAAGAAGAATATCATTACAATTTAGGTAGACCAGCCAAATATATTGAATGATATAGAAAAAATACATAAAATAGTATTTCACTTATGAGAAATTATTGACACAGAAACTATTAGTGGAGTTTTAAAATACCCTGCAATAGTAATTACAATAATGTTCAAAAGGAAAAATAATTTCCCATATTTAGTTGAATAAAATTATATTTTTAAAGATGTAAAGTTAAGCTTTGCTCCATAGTAATTACCTCATATGTAAAATTTTAGAATATTTAAATTTTTGCAGCTTTAACAGATCCTTATTAAAATTTCAGAGATAAATCTTTAAAAAAAATCATGTGCCCATACAGGTTTGTACCTATTCATATTAAAACAACTTTTACTTTAATTCATACTATTCCTCAAGAAAGGGAGTATAGATAGGTACAGCACACTAACTAGTTTAGGAACTCCTTGCAAATTCATTGCTGCCAATAGGACTCTAACAAATGGCAAAGGTCTAGTCATGCCACAGTACTTATTATGCCAATTACATCAATGAACAAAAGCCTTCGCACTTTTGGAAATTTCATTATAACTCAAGAAAAATAATAAGCTAGACATATGGTAAGTCAGGTTATAATAAGATCTATGACAGTTGAAAAAAGTGTCAGGGGAAACAGGAGCAAGTTATTGCTTTCCGAAGGATTATCAAAGATGGCCTGTTGGCGAGAAGTAGTTACACATGCCTGTTATCAGCTTCTTGGGAGGAGGAGATTGGAGATCCAGAGACTGCACTTCAAGGCCAGCTCAGCAAAAACTTAATGAGATGGCATCTTAATCAATAAGCTGGGACACATGTCTATAATCCCAGTTATACAGGGGCACAAGCGAGAGGACCAGAGTCCAGGATGATCCTAGACAAAAAAGCATGAGACCCTATCTGAAAAATAACTAAAACAAAAATGATATAGAGTGCCTGCCTAGCAAGCATGAGGCCCTGAGTTCAAACCCCAGTACCACCAATAAATAAATAAACAAAAATGGCCTGTCATGATGAAGTTATACCTAAGCAGAAGGTGACTAGAAGGGAATTGATATCTGACATAGGAACTCTCTGGTCATATACACAGCACTACATAAGAAACAAGCCTGGTGTATGCGAGAAATAGCAAGGAGACAATTGTGTTCAAGGACAATGAGTGAAGAGAAAGTGATAAAGAATGACATCAGAGAGGTGTCTGGGGCCAAATCAGTGAGGGTTTTGTAAGGCATGGTAAGGACACCCATTAGCTTTTAACCTGCATAAGATGGGACATCATCAGACTTCTGAGCCAAAGAGTGATAATGAGGAAAAGACTAGAGTAGGGCAAACATGGACCTGGGAAGATGAATTAGGAAACTGCTGAAATAATTATGTGGGAAGTGATGGTTTCTTGTCCCAGGAGAACAGTTGGATGTGGTAAGAAAGTAGTCAGAATTCAGATACATTCTGAGGGGCTATCTGACAGGATTTTCAAATGGAGTAAAAATACAAGGTAACTGACAGAGGACTCTGGAATGCTCCTACAGTCTTTAGCCAGAACCCCTGAGACAGTGGAGATCACTAATACTTATACATGGAAGAATGGAGGAGAATTAGGCTAGTGTGGGGTGCAGGTATAAATGGCCAGAAATCTAATAAAGTTCAGCTTTGAACCTGTTTAGTCAGAAATGACTTTTATATGCTCAGATTCAGGTGAATATGTCCAGTAGATAGCCTGATACACAACCCTTGAGTAGAGAGGACAGCAGGACTAGCCATAGAAATTTTGTATAGACTAACCAAGGGAAATTATGGAATTTTGTAGAAGAAAATGACTTTAAGCTGTCCAAATCTGGTCTCAAAATATGAAGAAAAGAGAAAATTTGCTTGGAGAGCTACCTTGACTTCTTCAAGATTACCTAGCTGGGTAACAATATCAGAACTGACACTGTTTAGAGATACTTTCTCTAAAAGCCACAAATTCCTAAGCTACAAAAAGATTCTGAACAGGGAAAGAACTACCACAAACCATTATTAAATTTTACAAAAGCTTGATGGCTGGGTGTGGTAGCACATGCCTGTGAGTCGAGCTACTCAGGAGGCAGAGGGAACATTGCAGTTCAAGGTCAGCCTTGGCAAAGGATGAGATGGGAGTATGACTCAGCTAAAGCAAAAAATAGGGTTGGAGGCATGGTAGAGCACTTACCTAGCAAGCACAAGGCCCTGAGTTCAAACCCCAGTACCATCAAAACAAATTATAAAAGCTTGAAAACATATCTTACATAACTTACTAGAACTAGATGTTTCTGTATTGAAGTACTAAAAAATCCCACTAATATTTAACTCTGTGTAATTTTCAAGCCAAAACTCATGGAGCATGTCCCAAGAACTCTGAGGTCTTTGGATGTCCCTGTGAAATACACCAGAATGAACTCTTCACTAACTGGTAAAGTCTGGCCTGCATTGTAAAAATAAAGTGGCAGACAGTTTTTTTCTCTTTTGACAACTTAAAATGATGTTGGAACAGGAACACTGCCTTGAAAAAGACTCTGGGCTTATTCTAGGCTCCATAGGAAAAAGTCCTATGATCAATAGGAAATGTTCACTGGACAAGAGGAGTGTTGGTGTAGGTCCTGGTTATGTGACACTGCGGGTCCTATGAAAAATCTAAAACTTAATAAGGAATGATAATGTGTTAGTTGCTGGCTTTCATTTAAAACTTAGGAGGTACAGAATCTGTTATAAATAGTGCTTCATATCACTGAAAAGTCATATACAGTATTTTAAAAGTTTAAGTAATTTTTCATTTTACCAGTTTGTTGCAAAGTCAGAATTAAATTTCAGTTCTTTCTGTTGTTATCCTCAAATTCTCAATAGACTGGAATCAAAAGAAAGTTAAAGTTGCAGCAAAAGTCTCCAATGAATGTCCAAACTCCCTTTTCTTCTCTCTTGCCAATAATGATCCAGACAGTGCTCAGGTCTTTAAAGAGCACAAAGGAAATGTCAAACAATGTTGGGGTCAATTCTGGTCTCTACAGGTCTGATCCTGGGAAGTTTCTCTCATCTTTATGAAAAGTTACCAGAAAGGAAAGACACAGAGGTCAGTGGGGAGCAATGGGAGCTAATTTTGACTTATATTTTTTTGTTATATGCTAATTTTTTTTAAATCACAATATATTTGAATCAACTAAAATGTACAGAGAATTATAGAGAGTTTATATCCATTTCCACCTAAGCTATTCTTTTTTTCTTTGAGGCAGGGTCTCACTGTGTAGTCCAAGCTGGCCTCCAACTTGTGATCCTCCGGCTTCGGCCTCCTTAAGTGCCAGGATTACAGATGTGCACCACTGTGCCCAGTGCCTCCCCTGACCATTTACAGAATTTTATGAATATATTGAAGCTCACCATGTATCCCTCCCCTAATCACATTCTCTTCCCTGTCTTGCTCCAAGTTCAAATCATTGAAGTAAATTATTTTATGCCCTTAAATTTATTTTTACATAACCCAAACACAAGACAGCTAAATACATTATTTGACAATAAAACAGAAAAAGAAACTGTGGAATTACATTTTAGTTGCTGAATTCATTCCTGCAGGTGTAGATGGTTGTTCAGGATCCTGGTTAACAAGGCAGGTTGGAAAGGAGCAGCCATCACCAAGACTATAATTAAAATAAAAACTTACAGTTGAACCATGAAACACAGAACAGTGAAACCCTGTGAAAATGCTGATGTCTGAGAGCAAAACATGTGGATCAGAGACCAGCTTCAATACTGTGTTTATATTTAGTGAGACAATGCACTCATTCTCACCTTGATATAATAGTGGGACATAAAACAACACTTTAAAAATAGAAATGCATATACAGAATTATAGACCCATGGAACAATAGACTTTTCCTGCCGTTGTGTATTGCTGCCTTACTCTCATTAGTTTATGTAAAACCTGAAAAATGTAACAACAAAGTACCTTGAAAAAATGGGTAGCAACCAATACTTCTTCTCATCACCAAAAACTTGTCGCATATTTTTACTGAAACCCAAGCTGAATCCATTCTTATCTGTTCCATGCCGAAATACTGGACTTCTGAATGCCTCTAAAAAATGATGAAGAAATCATATGAGTGAAGAACACATTTATTAGTGATTCCTAATATTTAGGAATAATTGAACCAAGTGAGGAAAATGAAAGCCAATGGCTAGCCTCCTGTGAGTACATGTGCCCATGAACAGCCCTGATATACAGGTTATCTGTTCTGTTTTAAAATATCTTAAGGTATGAGTTGTAGCAATAAATTGACATTGAGAAAATTATAAAACACAAGTGAGAAGATTAAACTTTCTATCAGCTGAATCTTTTGATAAGTGGCTACATAGTTGGAAGGACAATGTATTTAAATCTACATAGCTTTTAAAATCAAAACAAGTATAATTTTCATAATTTATAATCTGTTTTCTTAAGTCAATAAACTCCACTGTCTTTTATCATTGAAATTTTACCTTACCTAATCATAAAATATTTCCAGCTGACCCAATAGTATACTCTATAACCAGGTTGTCAATATCAGGATCCAATCCAGAATACATTGCATCTGGTTATATCCTCTCTGCACATTGAAGCTGAAATCTAGAGAGGCTCTGGGACTTGCCCAAGGTCATGGGACAAAGAAATACAGAAGTGGGACCTAAATTAGGTCATCAATGCTTCTTTCACAATGCTGTTTTCTTCTTGTTTTTTTTTTTTGGTGGCACTGGGGATTGAACTCAGGGCCTCACACTTGCTAGGCAGGTGCTCTTATGGCTTGAGCCACTCTGCCAGCTTGTTTTCTTCTTGTATAACATTTAAATATGAAATCTAAAATTTTATTTTTAGAAAATAAACAAACATGGAATCCATTATTTTTGTTCATCATTTAAAAAATATAATCTAATTAGCAGAGTCAGATACTATGAAAAATGTGATTTACAAATCCTTAGCATTTGTCACTCCAGGATATTGAGCTTTGTGTATAACTTTATTTTAAGGTTACAGGAACAGATTATCAAAGGAAGTTCTTTCAGTGCTACAATTAAACCTCAAAATTTCTAGTGCTTAAAGGCTCCTAGAGACAATTTGTTTACTTTTATGAATTATGGTTGTCCAAAATAAAATTGGAAATGCTATTATCTTGCTTAGAAATTGCTTTATTATTTAAATATTTTTCTAATAGTGTCTTCTGTAATAAGATTTCACCTAAATATTAAAAATAAACATGAAGCCAAGCTTCACGCCAGTAATTCCAGTACTCATGAGGCAGAGGCCAGCCTGGACTACATTGTAAGTTCAAGGTCAGGTTGGGCTACATAGTGAGACCCTGTCAAAAAAATGAAACAATATGAATTGTATGTCAATAATTAACTGTATATAATAATGGAATCCCACAGCTTTAAGTGTTTATAAGAGTTTGCATTCTCAAAATCTTAACATTAGTCTAGAAACTCTGTATAGCACAGTCTCTGCTTATTTTTCAAATTTGATAGTATATTTCTCATTTTTAGCTTCTACGCTCCAACCACATGGATGGTTTCTCAAATATTCCTAGATCTTTTCCCATAGGGCTTTTTGTTGTGGTGGTGGCTTTAACTGAGGAGAAATTAACAGAAAATAAAATTAAGCCTTTTTTAAAGTGAACAACTTAATGAAATCATTAATTCATAATCCTTGATACAATAATTACATGTATAAGTTCTGAAGTATTTTCATCACCCCAAAAGAAACTCCATGACTCTTTTCTCCTCATCTCCAAGCAAACACTAATAATGATTTTTTCCATGGATTTATCTATTCTGAATATTTCAAATAAATTAAATCACATAATACATAATCCATGTGAATTGATTTTTCACTTAGCATGCATTCAAGGTACATGTGTGTTGTGTTATAACAGTTTTACAATCAAGGAATATTGCATTGTTTCGTATTTTCTCCATCTTCTGATAGGCTTTGGGTTGGTTCCACCTGTTGACTTGGTAAGCAGTATTCCATTCTCTTCTTCTAATATTTGGCAGAGATTAAGAAGAACTAGTGTTATTTCTTCCCTTAAATGTTTTGTAGAATTCATCAGTAAAGCCATCCTGTCCTGGAATTTTTTTTGTTGTGAGGGTTTTGGTTACTGATTACAGATCTATTCTGAATTTCTGTTTCTTCTTCAGTTTCTTCTTCAGTTCAGTGGTTTGTTTCTAGTAATTTTTCCATTTCATGTAGATCAAATTTACTGAATTATCAAATTTATTGATAATTTAAAAGAATCAATGATTGGTTTCATTGATTTTTCAGTAAGTTTTTATTCTTTATTTCTATTATCTCCTATCTTTATTATTCCCTTCCTACAACTGGCTTTAGGTTTACCTTGCTCTTCCTTTTCTGGTTCCTTACGACATAATGAATGTTTATAGCTCTGCCTTTCCATCTAAGTGCTGGTGTTGCTGTATCCCTTATCTGTAGGGCTTTTGAATATACTGTTTTCTCTGCTAAGAGCTTCTGGCTCTTTCTATGCTGACTTCTTGTGTTGAGTACTTTTTGTTGTCGTGAACTCTTCCCTGATAACTCATTCTAAACAGTTCCTTCCGTTATCCTCCTATCCTTTATCCATACTTCATTCACCCTCCTTGTTTTATTCAAAGTACTTTGCATTTCATAATTAATTTTATGTTCTGTTACTAATTTTTGTGCCATTCAACAGACTGTTTTGCCCCTGCTCACCACTGTATATACCTAATGTTTTGCACACAATAGAAAGTCAATAAATATATGGAATGAATGAACTTGTATTAACTAAGTGACATTCCACAAAATAGGTGGGAAATAAGAATGACTGTTACCATGTCAGGACAGGATGACATTTAATCATATGGCAACTTTCAATGAATATCTACATATGTATTTAAAATGCTATCAACTACATTGGATACTCACCTAATGTAGATTTATTTTTGCTGACTAGCCAACAATGATAACCAAACAGAGAAGACAAGCTGACAGAAAACATAGCTGCAGCAAAGAATAAAAACATAATATGGAACTTGGCTTGAGTATCAGGTAGGCCATTCTATAAAGAAAGGAAGAAAATAAAATGTTTTGTCAAAGGGACAATTATTTCCCTACTTTTATAAATAAATTAGCATGATTTTTTTGCTTAAAATTTTTCTTAAATTTAACATGGTTTCATGTTAAAACTTAAGGAGAAAAAATAAATATATATTTCATCTTAATATCAAATGTTTGGGGATATAAATATATGAATAAGATTTAAATTTTGGATATTTTGTTTTACATGATCCAAACATGGAAAAGTAAGGCAACAGAACTGTAGCAATAGGAAACAAGATAAAATGAACTATAAAATGTGGTTTTAAATTTACTAGCTGAACATGTTGTGTTAATATCCTACAAATTCAAATATGTTTAAGTGATTTTATCATGCCAGAAAATGAAGATTAACTGGCATAATTTAGTTACTGATCTCATTGGTGTTTTATATGACTGCAAACATCATTATCAACTAAAAGAAACATACAACAACACACCCACAATAATGCGTGAAGCTATTTTAAATAGTAGCATCACAGAAAAAAAAAATCAACATTTGTGAATAACATCTGTCTAAAATATACTTTACAATATCTATGGGCTGAAATAGGCCACCTCACAAAAATAAAACCAAAAAACCAGTTTGACCCTCACTATATGACTGGGGATGGTTGGAACTGGCTCCAGGGAGAGCTGGACTGGGGAGAGCTTGGGGCTGTGTACACACAGAGTACCAGAGAGGCCGGGTGGTTATAGTGTGTCAATTCCCTGTCGAACATGTCATATGGATCGAGGTTATAAGGTCTCACTGGCTGCTTTGGACAGCAGGTCTGCAGGATGGAAACTCTAGTCTTTCCTTTTTAAATATATTTGTGGTGTAGAATGAAAGCCATCCATAGAAATGAGGAACACGGAAGTGATGTTCTCCTGGACATTCACTAGGGATCATTCTTCAACTGAAAGCAAGTAGTATCTTAAATGCTAGGAGCACATTTGTCCATCTGTCTTCCTAGTTCTAACCAGCATATAGTAAGCACTCAGTAACTCTTTGGTATTAAATTTGGTTCAAATCTCATGTAAATGATCTAGCAGTTCATAAATTTTTGCCATAATAAATGATAACTCAATGAAAATAATTTCATTTTGCCTTCATTTAGCAACACTTAATCAAAAGTCAGGACATGGCAGACATGGGAGTTTAAAAAATAATGCTACACGTGAAAAGAAATGACCTCTTTTTTTAAATATTGAAAAAATCTTCTTACATAATCAATTCTTATTATTCACAGTAGTAATGTTCCATAAGACTGCCATGAATGGTGAATTTGTGAATACTGAACCATTATTCATGGGAAAGATAGAGGGTGCTTCCTGCAATCCTCTCATCACACCATCTTCATCAACTGATCCATTCACAGCCTTGTTTGATGTGGGTTTTTGTTGAAAGGTCTCTTATTTAATATATGGTATTGATTCATTAATATGAAACTTTGCCAACAACACTGGAACTCATACCTGAATGAAGTTCCAGTTCTTACCAAACATATGTATTTTCTCCATAAGACACATCAGTCTTGTTTAGAAACACTAGACATCACTTCAGCAGTACGTCTGAAGACCATTTTAAACAACAAAATCAACAAAAAGCACAAAAATGCAAAAACAATGGCACCAAATAGACTGTGAGAAACACACTTGTTTTACAGTATGAAGGCTGGAACGAGAAGACTAGGCGTTGCCTTCTTTTACCTCAACCAGGAATGTGCAGGGTAGGCACTTCAATATTTTGCCACTCTACACATGTCTCAGATGATCAGGAAATCTCTGTGCATATTGACTTGGAGGTTACTGATAAATCTTGAGAAGGCGAATAACAAATACAAAATCTGTGAATAATGAGGACTGACTGTACATAAAAATCAACTCTATTCTATAAAGTCAATGTATAAAATAATTCACTGCTAGAAATGTATATTATAGATTTTGGATACAAAAAAAATTCATGAAAGTAATGACTTACTGTCCAAAATCTGATAAAATACTGTAAATCTGTAGCAGCAATAAAAAGGCAGTACAGAAGAGAGTAAGCCAAGAAAAGGAGGAAGAATTTATAATTTGAAAATCCAACACAATTGTTCACCCTGCCAACAAAACAAAAGGTCTCAGTGAGTTTTACATTTTCAACCTAGGTATAAATATGATCAAACTTAACACAGTGTTTGATTTTCTCTCATTTTAAATTTATTAGCATTTCTTTAAATATAAGCCATAAAATTTCCTTGCCTGTGCAAACATTAAAAAATTAATTTCATTAAAAAGGATTTCTGTGTTTAGATCTTATATGATTTTTAATATTGCTTTAATCAATCATGATTAATATGCCTACATTCCAAGTCTAGGTGCAAAATAACCACATGCCTAAAAGCACAGAGCTTACTAGAGGAAGCAAAGGCAGATTTGAGAATTCACTTCATTCCTCCAGGTTATCTTTAGGTTTGATTTCCAATTATGATTAAGTAAGTTAGTTTCTTTTAAGTTTTCCCAAACTGGATGAAATCTTTTACATACTTCTTTCATGTTGTCACTGAGGCAACCAGATTGTCAAAACATGTTAAATGGGAGATTTAAAAAAAGAAACAGGATTGGGAGCCAGACAGACTCAGCTGTAATGCACATGTGACACTAGAGAATTATGTGTAGTGAAAATCTATTCGAATTTCATTTTCCTTACTGGTAAATTAAGTACTCTGAGACTGTTTCTGAAATCCAGCTCTATATTCCAAATATGGGAATTAAAATATTCTTACTTCATATTCTAAAAATCATTATGTATTGGGTAGGGAAGGTAGAATTCCAACTATCATGTCAATAAAAAAGATATAAATACTATTCATTACATAGTCACTCTTTCAAATTTCTTTTTCCTTTTCATAGCCAGGGGCATTACTGGATGACCTTGTGCAAATGTGATACAATGCCTCTGAGAACTGGCTGGTATCATCGCTGATTGAGTTAACTCATTGTTAACTGGTATAATGAGCCTACTGCACAGAACTAACAGTGTTTCCTCTTCTCGGATGCCCTCCTTCCACTCTAGTGTTGGTAATACACTCTCTCTATTGAATGCACCAATAAAACGAAACATTTTTCTTTCTAGATTTTTTAAATTAAACTATGGTCACAGGAAAAAATATTTACATTTCCTACTTCAAAAATATTAGGTAAAGGGAACAGCACTGGACTTACTAATTTTCAAACTTAAGGGTCTTATACATGGGAAAGAAATTCATAAAGAAGCCAAAAGTTATGAATGTGTGCTATGTGAAAACAGTTATTTTTGCAGCTCCAGAGGTTCCAATGGAAATCCAGACCATTTGCTGAGATTGCTTTTATGTCACTGGAATGAAATAATGGCAAGAAATAATTCTGGAAACAAAGCTATGGAAACCTAGCCTAATTGCAATCAGTCTCAAAAGAATACAGGATACTGCCTTTGCTTACTTGAATTGATTTCAAGAGCAAAGAATGGCTGATGAAGTCTGGTGTGCTGTAGCTGTTGGGTCATGTGGGGATAAACAATGACTGGTTTGCTGAGGGGAATCAGAAGGAACAGGACAGATTGTTTCTCTTCCTACCAGAATACAGGAAGCAGCTTTTGTATTAAATGATGAAGAACACTTTTGTTGAAAGAAAATGATTTTGATGACAGATTTTTATAATACCTGTTTTGCCAGGAAACAAGAGAAAGTAAATAAAGATGAAGTGTTTAAGAGTTTTTAGTATGTATATTATAAGAGGACACAGAGTAATAGAATTTATTTTGAATAATATCTTACTCTCTTATGATAGAAAGCTCTGGTTAGACATTTCAACTGCCTACTGCTTTCTAGACTAGGAAGAGGACTCATTTTGAGTCTGAGGTTCCTCTGTCTAGAAAAGAAATGACTTCATATGGAGAAGCAAAACACAATCTAGGTAAATATCCTTCTGTCTCAGAGCAATTGCTTTTTGATTCTCAATTGGAAAAAGAATGTGACCTTTGATGTCCAAAAACCTGGCTGTGTGACTTTCAGACCACTCTTCAACTTCTCTGTGCCTCACTTTCCTCCCCTTTAAAATAAGACAAATCATTTCTATTTCTTTGCATCATTAGTATAAGGGTAACAGACTAAATGTATAGTTTAAAATATAGCAGTCAATCAGTTGAAGCTAAAATTACTTATTTTTGTGTTACCTAACCTACAAGGGCATTATTAATATAATTAGAAAACCCAATAAAGCAAACACTACAGAAACTCTCGTTTAGTTAAAATAACAAGTGTGAGATTGATCCCTCGAATCCTGATGGCAAAAGCAGATAGACTGAAATCACTGAAAAACAGAGAGGCACTGTTTATCTAATATTTCAATCTCAGAGTTGACAGATACTAAAGTTTACCAGACCCACATAAAAGGCTGTCCCACAGTCTGGTAATATCCTAAAAGTCCTTGAATAAGATACATTCACATAATGGCTACAGAAATTTTTTGTTTATATGGTATTTGGCCTCAAACCCAGGCCTTTGGCCCATGGCAAGCAATCACTCTACCACTGAGTTATACCCCCAGCCCTATAAAGTTTAAAAATTTTTAATCTGAAATTTAAAAATATTGTCTCCTCCATTCAGATGGCACCAGCTGACAGGTCCTTGGCATCAAACCCTTCACAAATTAACACAGCTACTGCTTTCTACAAGGGAGCCTATAGCTGAAATGGTTGGTGGGAACAGGGCTTCAACATGGGAAGTGACAGTGCAGGAAGCAGGAAGTTAAATTTACTCCACAGGGCCCCTAAAGGGAAAGTGCAAGACAGTATGTAGGTATGCAGTGGAGGACTAATTTTAAAAACTATAGAGTCTTATAGCTGTTCCTTTTTACTTAAGAGGATCTGTCAAAATTTGAAAGACTGTCAAATTATCCTGTAAGTTCTTACTCAGCTAAATTAATTGCAGGTTTAGAAAGACTGCTATAATGGCAAATCATTATTTTCTATTTTTGTAATTTTGGTGACAATTGCAGACGATGGCAAAATTTATAGGTATGTACTGACCTGAGATGAATCCTGATTGTTTCCACTGCTCCAGGAAAAACTACAGTCAAATCCATGCCCTGATTATTTTACCACTGCTAAATATATCTACAATCCATATCAGTGCAGAAAGGAGAATGCTTAGTATGGGTTCCCCTAAAAGCAGACCTGAGGCAGGAACTTAGACACAGTTTATCTGAGAAAAAGAATGTAGAAGGGCTGTGGATATAGCTTAGTGGTGTAATGCTTGCCTAGCATATGCAAGGCCCTGGGTGTTGATCCCCAATACTATAGGAAAAAAGCAAAAAAAAGTTACTAGGTGGCCCTAGAGGTATTAATGCCCTGACACTTCTGGACTGCCCAGTTTGTGAGCTGAACTAATCGACACAGATAGAGGAGAGCCCTCAGATGGAGAAACAAAGAAACACAGGTGCTTGAGGTAGGAACTGTCCACCACAAGGCCATCACTGGGGTCATGGTGTGTGTGAGTGCAGGGCTAACAGCATCTGCCACTGGGAGAGGTATTGGACAGAGGACTGTAAGGAGGATTAAGATAACTTATAATTGAAGATATTAGGTGGGGGAACTTGCTAAGACAAATAAAATGGGAAGCAAAAGAATGAATGCAAACGTGAGTTAGTACAAAGGGGACTATTTACAGAGATCTTTCTTTAAGAAGAGCATCATTTTTCCAGGAGTTGACTACGCTTAACACTTCATAGGAGGAAATCTAAGTGAAGAAAAGGAAAAGGTATACTAGTGAAAAACCTAGAGTACTATCAACCCTGCATTCCCCTATTGTTTCCTGCTCCCTAGAGGCCATTCCCTATCCATATTTCAAACTATCCCTAGCGTAGACTTGTGGGCATGTTTATCTTTTCTGTAGTGTCATCCTTGACATTAAAGCTTTAGGTGACTTATCCCTTTATTAGAAACTTCTACTGAGATATTATAATTCATAATTTCTTTGTAAATCCTTGTGTACATTCCTGGAAAGTATTTTAGAATCTCTGTTTTTATGTGGGTGTAGAGAAATGCTTTTCTGTGAGCAGACATGTAAAATTAACTTTGACATTGTTAACTTACTAGTTATAAAATTATTTCATGGAACCTCTCCTGAATAAAGGTTTTTTCAAGCTAATTAAACACATACTAGAAACTAAATCTGAAAGTGCCTCCTAGCTCAACTAAGGTAATGTTTTATTTATTAAAACATCTAAATAGAGAAGTGGCTCAATTTATAAAAATTTATAAAAGATAGAAACTTGTTTAAGAATAGAGCCATACTCACCATGGGCAATGATGATCCATCTTCAAAATACATCTAAAAAACAAAGCAAAACAGCCCACAAAATTTTAGTCACAAGTAAAATATTACAAAATCTCTTACCTAAAAATTTAGTATAGCCAAATTTAGTATAGCTCTGATCTAAAATAAGTACTATATCCAGTTTTAGTTATAATAATGGAACTTTAAATGGAAAATATACATGATTCAAGATCTAGATCAACTCATTTTCTTAAAAACAAGGTAATATATAAATATGCAACAATCTCATGCTAAAGAAGTCAAAATGTCAATACATTTACAGGAAGTCTGAATAAAATGTGGCCTTCAATATCAATTCTTAAGCCAACTTACATTGCTTATGTTGTATATTAAAGACATAATAATATATTTGACTATTGTGAAATCAACTCAGTTATCTTTATAAGATGGAAACCACAGAAGATTTGCTAAATTGATCCAGCGAAGTCAAAACTTCTAAAAATCGTGCATGCATGTCATCATGGATCTGGGGGAAAAGAGACAACTGGTTGTGGCCACAAGTCACACTGGCATTAATGCAAGTGATTATTCCAATTATATTTCATAATGATGGTCTGAGACACAAGAGTTAGGAGAAAAAATAATAATCTGAAAAGTAGAAAAGAAATACTAGATAAAAAGACCAGCAATACGTAGACATTTTGGAAGTAAAGATTTCCTTACTTATCACAGACGGAACAATGATGGCAGCGATCCGGTTTTATAAGTTGGCATCTGTCACAATATCGGATTGCTAAGAATAAAAAGTTCCACTTAGTCTCAGATTTAACATGACACTGAATATACAATTAAATGGTTTTTTATCATCTCTCCAAATTTAAATTCTAAAAAAGCATACTGAATTTAACTTTGGTAAAAGATAAGATAGTCAACTCTGCTTAAATACAAAAAGTAACCAAGAAGACTTGCTTATAGCCAGAGTTCTCTGGAGAGGTTTCCCAAAGGTAGGACATCTCTTGGGGAAATTTTTCTAAGGTGTCCTCAATGCCCAGTAATTACAGTAAGCTTAAAAGGGGTACAGATATGTACATATCTATTAAAGTAGACAGTTTCCCTTAATTAAACTTATCTCCTGTGTATAAATGGATGAGCATACAGCTGGCTAGGATAACTAAGTAAGGATACAACCACAGAAACACACTTGCAGAATTTATAAATAAGCTCTATTAATTGCATAAGTTGGGATAGATCTCGTATCTCTGTTGACTGAGGTAAATACAATATTATGAGTACAAGAGAAGCACTTCCAACAGAGAATTTTAATTGTTGAAGCTGAAGTCCTCATCTTTTCTTCTTTAACACAGATACCTAAGGTAACATGGATGACTGATCTAGGGATGCTGAATTATGACACAAGCATCTCACAGGACACACTTAATCACTGAGGAACAGTGAAAGCAAACAGTATAAAAACTGTGTGGGAGACTTAGATTCAATTATGATTCTAAAGTAAGCTAGAAATAATTTTAGAATACTAGTGAAAATTGTACATTCTTGTTCTCATGTAAAAGGTTTTGAAATCAGTTGTCTATGTTACATTTAAGGTATCTCTCCAACTTGGACTAGTCATGTTGCTTAATAGCCAGATGGGCTAATGGGTTCCATAATGGGTAATAACGTGCTTAAAGTCACCAAAAATTTCTTGATGGGCAAGAACGAACAGTGCATGTATGTTGATGTATATTGGTTTTTTAAGACAATTATTTTATTAAATGTTAAATTATCTTAAAGACATGATCCAACTAAAAGATTTATTCCTTTCATTCTTTTATTTTTTGAGCCAGGAGCTAGCCTTGAACTGTGGATCCTCCAGTATCCACCTGAGGGCTAGGATTATAGATGTGCACGACTGTGCTCAGTTTCTAAGTAAGAGATTTATTAATTTAGTTGCATATGTAAAAAATTAGTTTGAAGCAGGGCACAGTGGTGCAAGCCTATAATCCTAGCTACTTGGGAGGCAGAGATAGGGAGGATTGTGGTATGAGGCCAACCTAGGCAGAAAGTTTGAGAGATTCATCTCAATCAATATAAGCTGGGTGTAGTGGTGTGTGTCTGTCATCCCAGCTATGCAGGAAGTGTAAAAAGGAAGATTACAGTCCAGACCAGCCTTGGCCTAAATGTGAGACCTTATCTCAAAAATAACTAAAGCAAAAAGGGTTGGGGGTGTAACTCAAGTGGTAGAGCACCTATCTAGCAAGTGCAAGGCCCTGAGTTCAAATCATGGCATTGCCCCACCCCATCAAAATTAGTTTAAATTTCAAAGATGGATAAAGAAAATGTACCAATATCTGAACTATGTTTTACATAATTATTTTTAAATTTACTACAAATGCACATAAGATTATTAACTCAATATTCATTATAGATATTCCTCCCTAAATATAAACAGGAAGGTCTATAATTAAAACTTTAAAATGAATTCTACTACATATCAAGATTTTAACACTTCTTCCATCCTCACCGAGTCATAATTGAGTAGGAGGAACAGATTTCAATTCAGTGCTGATTTAGGTGAGATCTCTGCACCAGCATTACTCATGGTTCCATCCTACTTGATGGAATTGTACAGGAAAGATTTAATAGCAATCCAAGAAATAGCACAGTATTTTAAGTGAGTGTTTGACTTTTTAAGTTATGAATATGCTTCCTAAGAGCCACAATGGCACATCATTTGGACACTGTAGAAAAGCCCTCAGTACTGACACTTACCTCCAGACATGGTCCTGGTGTAGATGGGAAGGTCTTTGGCTGCTCGCCTAAGAACTTCCTGATGGGCTTCTCCCCTTGGCTCTCTCTCCAACAATTCTTTCTCTGAGTAAGAAAGGTGGAACTGTGGAATAAATTTAAATTTTAATCAATATCTTCAAAGGAGTAACAACACATTGGTCTAGTCTAGTATACCCAAAGGTACTTATAAAATATTAATGGTGCTACATAATAGATTCAGAGAGGTAGCAGCGTTTCAAATCTGGACAAGTCTATTAACTTCACAGATCACTACTCTATACATCTGCACAATCTAAGAAATAGCACAGTATTTTGAAGTGAGTCTTTTTGCCTTTCGAAAGGATTGCTCTGGTTACTATGTTAAGAATACATAGAAGAAGGCAAAGATGAAAGCAAGGACCTAAATGAAGGAGGGAGTGAATTTAACCAAGATATATTGTAAGTACTGTTGTAAATGTCGCAGTGTACCCTCAGTACAACAATAACGTGATAAAAATTTTTAAATTTTTAAAAAATAGGCTATTGGAAATATATGAAGTGAGAGATGGTGGTGGCTTAGCTCCGGGTGGCAGCAGTGGGAGGGCCATGAGCACACACATGGTTTGAGAGTATGACTGTAGAGTTTGCTGACTGTTTTGATGTGGAGTTGAAGAGAAAAAGAGTAGCCAAGGGTTTTGGCCTGGACAACCAGAGGATGGAGTTGTCATTACTAAGACAGCAAAACCTTAGTGACAGAATGATTGGGAATGTGGGCAAGAAATCAAAAGTTTGCTTTTAGATATGTTAAATTTGAAATCCTTTTTTTTGTTTGTTTGTTTTTTGGTGGTATCAAGTTTGAATTCAGCGCCCTGTGCTTGTTAGGCAGGTGTTCTACCACTTGAGTCATGCCCCCAGTCCTATATTTGAAGGGTTCTGGGAAGAGGTTATAGGCAAGCCTTAAATGAGGACACCATGAAGACTATAATATCTCAGACAAGGGAGATAATTGAGACCCTGAATGAGGTAGGGAGACAGAAGGTGAGAGGGAGAAGAAAAGAGAGAAGAGATTTTAAAAAGAGAGAGAGAAATGTATGGAGGTGCAAACTTCAGTAGGAGTTGGATGCTGGGGGAGGAAGAGGAAGAGGGACAAAAAGGAAGATGGAGGATTCAACCATGGCTGTCAAGCATCTGGCTTGGAGGACCAAGTGGATGGCAGTAGCATTAACTAATAAATGAAGCAGATGGATCACAGTTTGGGGCAGGAGAAAGTGATGAGTTCTGGTTTAATGTTTTGAGGTGTCAGTGGAGCTGACAAGGATTGATGTTGTCAGCTACATAAATTTGAACTCAAAGAAGAGATCAGAACCGGAAGTAGCTCGGGAGTCTTCAGTGCAGAAGTTGTAGGTAAACCACCAGAGATGAGTTTACCTGTGTGAGAAGTCAGCATTTTCCTTCCAGTCTGCAACTGAGGCCATGATAGGGATAACAGAGATGATGGAAAAAAAATACTGTATGAGGAAGGAAAAAAGAGGCAGGAAAAGAAACAGAAGTGGAGAATAGAAGACAAAAGACAATGTAGAAAGCACTCTAGTCCAAGCATACCAGTAAGTCTGTGCACATATCTGTGGTTGCGGTTTCAGTATTCTTTTCCAGGTCACAAAGCATGTTATGTGGCCAAAGCTGCAATTCAAACTGATTACTTTAGAAAACAATCTACAGTGACATCTTTCAAAAAAAAAACACTTGGCCTATGTTCTTACCAGTAGCAAAGGTTAGTTCAATTCAACAAACATGCACTGATTCTTTACTTCAAGGTAATTTTGTTAATGTTTTAACTTACTTTTGAAGAATTCAACAAACAGGTACTGGGCTAAAAACGAAGGAAACCTCATACCACCAAAAAACAAACAAAAAAAGGATTTGAAATTCAACAATCAGAAAGCACTTCTGATTTCTTGCCCATATTCCCAATCATCGTATCTCTAAGGTTTTCCTATCTTAGGAAAGACACAGTCCTTCGCTCCAAGAACATTAATTAGATGAACAACCCAGAACCAGAAACAAATAGAATGATCTACTCAAAATGGAAATTTAATAATGTCCCTCTACTTAAAATCTTCTGTAGCAGAGATTGCTAGCTGTCCCTAGTAACCACTCTTCTCTTCCTGTTGACCACTGAGAACAAAGATGACATTCTCAGCCTTCTATGTGGGATAGATGTGAATAGATGTGGCCATTTAATTCTAAATGGAAATGAAGATGGTATCAGTAACCTCTAGAAAGTATCTTTATATATAAGAGCATTTTCTTCTCCTCTTCTTTCCTACTTTCTCTGGCGTATAGCTGGCACTGGAGCTCCCATCTTAGGCCAAGAGGTGGCCTTGGGAACAGAGGCTACACATGGCAGAACAATGAGATTCTGAGCTTAGCCACCTTGAAGCTGTGGACTAGCAATAGATTTTCTGAATGTAGAGGGAATGAGTCAAGCTACTTGGTTCTAGTGGCTGACAGCCAACTAATACATCTTTCATATGATAAACAGAATATCTTCGAGTTCTATTTATTCATCCTGATGTCTGACTCTAAAGTAGAAAAGAGATGTACAACAGATTTATATTGGGAACACAATAACCATCTGGTACAAAAATAATATTTTTCAAGTGGAAATTCAAGCATTTATTAACAGACATAGTGTTTTTTTATCCAAAAAAAGTCATTATGCTCAATAAGCTTGTAACACCAGTGAAAGGAAGAAAATTCAGTCTCAGAAATTAGCATTAGTGATTTCTGTCTTTAGGAGAATTTTGCTAATGCTTTAACTTACTTCCTTTGAAGGATTCATTGGTAATGTAAAGATAGTTTTCCAGTATGACCAGACAAACATTGCAAAAAGTAGATGATAAGCCATCAGGCACACAACTAAAATGAGAGAAACATAATTACCATTCATTATACAAATAAATACTTAAACTTTTGTGAATACCTCACAAAAGATCTGCACATTTTAAAATATCCAAACTAACAATCACAACAAATTATAAAAATTCACTTACATTATACTAGAGTAAGCACAACTCATTGAATATAAACCTAAAGACAAGAGGTCTGTTTCCTTTTTTTAATTCCTGAGTGCATAATTAGATCTATGTCCATGAATAGAACCCTCCCACCTGTAGACAGATCCACCTATTGCCAAAATGGCTAACAGGGATCTTGCCTAAATTATAAAAATAAGGCAGTTATGACCCCAACTTTAGAAAGTAGACAAAGCATTAAACAAATGTTAAAACTTTCAGAATTTAAGCATTTTGCTTTACTGAAGAAGCAGAGAAAGCAGTTCCTGTCTGAGAAGTGCTTGCTTGTTTTCTTGGCTCTAGTCTGTGGTGGTGGCCCTCAGTGTAATGACTGCATATTTAAACAGGACCCTCTGGACAAAGAGAGATTGCTCACAATTGAGTTCAATTGACTTGTTTATCTCACAGGGCAAAGAAAAGCATTCTCAACAGTTTCTTTTCAAAGTAATGTATACAACCACACTTGTGTGGCATTTTGAAATACTACATAAATTCAAAATAGTAATTTTGTATGCAGTGATAGTCCATTCTGAATATTCTGAATATATTAATATACAACTTAATTCTGTAAGATATAGTTGAATGAAATGTACTAATTAAAATATGGCATGTTTGGTATTTCAAAACTGTTACTAGCAATTTTTAATTTTTTTCTAAAGAATGATATTTATATGTATAGAATCATTAAAATTTTTAAATTATCCAAGAAGTCACTGAAATCAGTATAAGATGACTAGAGTCAATGGTAAGCTTCATAAATTATGGAGATAATTTGGGGCAATATTCTAAGTTGGGACAGGAAATTGTTGATATCCCTATATGTCAAGGCTCTTTGACAAGAATCTTTGGTCCAACTATGGACATTTCAGTGTAGAGTTCTTTGCCAAGAATCTGGGGATGTGGAGAAATGACAGTCACTCGCTTTCATTTCCATGTTCTCAAAGAGGGATTTCTTAATCCCAACCAAATCTAAATGGATACAATTTTTTTCAAACTATATTTTAAATATTATAACCACAACAATAACATAATAGTTTACCTTGTTCGCTAATGTTTTCCATGGACACTATAGAAATAGAAAAAAAAGGTTAACAGATTATATGATGTTTATGGTAAACACAGGGCCGAGACATTTAAATAAACTAACAGCTTGGCTTCCCTTCAAACCAACATTCTTGACATATTGCTCAGTTTTACAGGAGGGGCAAACACTGTGTGGAGAGGTGGTGAAGGAGGGAGACTGGGGCTGTGGTCAGCCAGGCCTCTGTGTGCACTTCTGCTCTGGTGCCCACCCAGCAAAGCAGCACTCTTCAAACATGCACCTTCAGTCCTTCAACTACATTACATTTCCACAGATGTTTATTGCTCTTTATAAATCAGCAACCACCTGGTTAACTCTCCACAAAGAACAAAATGTCGCATACACAGTACATACTCTTCAGATTCCTAACAGTACAAACCCTCTTGCTCAAAGGCTCTAACTGCTCCCTACTGTACAATGAGGGGCCCAGGCTATGCCTGGGGAACAGCCATCCCTCAGAAACTATTAAAAATATTCAAAAGTAGCAGGTGAATAAGGACAGGAGCCACAAGTGCTCCTGACAAACTGGGACAAGAAACTGTATTTAGTAATCCAGATCATTTTTTTACCTTTTATATTGTCTATTTGTTTTGCTAACCATGTGGTCTTCCTGTGTTTGTAATAAAGTCTTTTGGAAGTTTTGGCCTATCTCAGTTTTCTCAGGGAAAGTTGGACTTTTCTGCTCAGTTTTTTAAAGGGCTGCAGGATTCTCCTTAGTTCTGGAATGAAATACTACTTCCTTAAAAAGGACTAGAATCACAGGGTAATGTAAGAGAATTTTAGGATCACCTGATCCTTTCCAAGCAGCTACTGAATGCCAGCACAGGCATTTCTCTAGGGTCAGTGGAGTCCATAGTTTTGGAGAACAGCCCAATTCCATTACTGGACTGCTTTAAGAATAAGGAAATTCAACTGTACAGTGTTGAAATTTGTCTCTTTGTGGTTTTTACCTGTGATATATAGGTTTCCAATCTGCAGCAATAAATAAAATCTAAATGACAGCTCTTCACATACTTAAAGTTCCTGTGTATTTCAGATGTTTTCTCTAATCCAAATAATGTTATCACTTCCAGATTTTCCACCAACCACCTAGAGATTCTATGAGAAAGAGAACTCTGACTTACCCCTTGTTTGCAAACAAACTTGTAGGACTGGCCATTTCTAAGTCAAAGATCATGATGCCTGCCTGACTCACTCTGGAGATCAGATATGTTTTTTAAAGGTTCTTGATTCCCTTTGACTTACACACAGCCTGTTCTATAAGTGTGCTTACAAATCAAAGGCAAGTTAGAGTTCACTTTCTCATGAAATCTCTGAAGTTTTTAATCTGCCAGAGGGAAGACTGGAGGCAAGCTTGTTTCTCAGAGTGGACCACCATGTCTTTGAATTTCTCTCTAGGCACTGACTTCCCTTGTCATCAAAAGTACTCCAGACCTAACTACAACTCTGCACAGTCTATTTAAAAGAAAGAAGAGCAGAATTTTGAATGAAAGATTTTATACGTGAAAATAAAAGGTGAAAAATGATTTAAGTAGCTGTATCTTCTAAGTATCTTATAAATGAACTGTCTTTTTTTAAAAACAAAAGATGTGTCATCCCAGAAACCTAGTTAGTGTAAACAAAAGAAGGTGGTAGTAATCTTTAACACAGAGTAATGAGGCAAAAACTTCAGTCTTGATGTGATACTTAGTCTTTGTGAGAACATCTCAAAAGTGAGAAGATCTATTTCAGATATAACAGTTTAACTCAATGGGTAAAATCAATTACTTTTTTTTTTCTATACAAACGCCTAAATCTTGTATTTGGCCCAAAAGAAGTTAGATGTAATTTACTCATGCAAATAAGAGCACTGCTGCTATTACACTAAAATATTTATTATTCATACATCTGGTGACCATCAACATACTACAACAGTAACACTGTGGGTCACAATTTTAATTTTCATTTCAAGCATTAGTTTTATCTTGGGTTAGCCTAACTTATTCCTAATCCATGTCCTACAATGATAATATTTTGTTTAGAGATTTCTAACCTTCCAAGTTACCTCTAAAACTCAAAATTCTTCCCTGATTAATTGCAGTACAGGAATCACAGCACTTTCTTGGCACTGATGGTATACAAAATGAGAGAAAGTGGGAATGGTAAGTGATTACCAGATCTTCCTGTGTGCCAACAGCAAAATTAAGGTCTTCAAGAATTGCATCTCACAACCTGGAGTAGTCATAGCAACGGAAAGGCTAATTCTGTTTTCTGGCTACCTGTTCTGCCATTAATGAGTCCTTCAAGAAATTAAATGAGTCATCAGAGAAAAGGCTGAATTGATTAGTCATCAGGCTACAATTAATAAGAATGATAGTTGTGTTATAGCATTGATTGTTCTTTAAGAAACCATTGTGCAAAAATAAATATGTAAAAACCAAAGTTGACAAGTAAGACTGTCAGTCAAAGTAATAACCCTAATACAGAAAAGAATGACAAACTTCTATGATCCAACCTGGTTTGGAATAAAATATACACTCACCTTTTCTCTTTCACCTGAATTATCAAGCCATCATTTAATTCAGAGGTCAGTAAATTACAGCCATCGATCCAAATACATTCAGTCACCCATTACTGTAAAGTTTTATTTGAGCATGTACACATCCATTCATTTATGTGGCTCCTTTTGTCTATAAAGGCAGAGCTGGGCAGTTGAGATAGACAGGATGGTATGGCCTACAAAGCCTGAAAGACTACCTGGCACTCCACAGAAAGTTTTCTGGTCCCTGTGTATTAGCCAGGGCTCTCTAGAGAAGCAGAACGAATAGAATGTATACATACATGTGTGGGCATGTGTACATGCACAGACATAGATTTATTTTAGGAAATTGGCTCATGTTAATTGTGAAGGCTGGCAAGTCTGATCTGCAGATCAGGCTGGAGACCCAGGGAAGAGTAGATGCTGCAGTCTTGGGTTCAAAATTATTGAGTTAGAACGGTATCTAACAAATCAACTACAATATCATACATGTTTATGTGTATGCCAGAAGCAATAATGACATCCTTTGTCACACTCTAGAAACCTGACTATAAATAATCCTATTCAAATCAAGTTTATTTATGCACCCTATGAGTCCCTAAGTATGCTATCAAACCAATTCTCTAAAGAGCTCAAAAACATTAACCAGTTTAGTCTAGAATGATAAAATTCATTCTTGATTATTCAGTTATTCCAGCCCTAGATTTTTTTTTATTATTCATATGTGCATACAAGGCTTGGGTCATTTCTCCCCCCTGCCCCCAGCCCCTCCCTTACCACCCACTCCACCCCCTCCCTTTCCTCCTCACCCCCTTGCTACCCGGCAGAAACTATTTTGCCCTTATCTCTAATTTTGTTGAAAAGAGAGTATAAGCAATAATAGGAAGGAACAAGGGTTTTGCTAGCTGACATAAGGATAGCTATACAGGGAGCTGACTCACATTGATTTCCTGTGCATGTGTGTTACCTTCTAGGTTAATTCTTCTTGATCTAACCTTTTCTCTCGTTCCTGGTCCCCTTTTCCTATTGGCCTCAGTTGCTTTTAAGGTATCTGCTTTAGTTTCTCTGCATTGAGGGCAACAAATGCTAGCTAATTTTTTAGGTGTCTTACCTATCCTCATATATCCTTTGTGTGCACTCGCTTTTATCTTGTGATCAAAGTTCAATCCCCTTGTTGTGTTTGCTCTTGATCTAATGTCCGTATATGAGGGAGAACATACAATTTTTGGTCTTTTGGGCCAGCCAGCCCTAGATTTTTACCAAGTAATTTTTTTTAATTTGACTTTGGTGATTAAACATTAAGTATTTGCTGTCAAAAATTCTATCTAGTAATAAGCAACAGTTTGGCAAACTATTGGTAATTTAAATCTAGTTCAACATTTAGTCATAAACACACCAAAAATCCAAATGTTCAAATATTAACATACGCCTTCATAGCAAACAAAACATCTACTCCCCCCACCTTAACATATAATTGTTTCTAGAACTACTTGATTTTCAGATATTTTTATTGCAAATGTATGTTGCTGTGATCTATTTCTTTCTTAATCTGAATTTTCTTTTTCTTGTCTTCACATTCAAACTCTCTCCTTTAGAGGGATGATTTACCTTTATTGTTTATATACAATAACTTTTCTATGTAAACAACTATGACATTTCCAAATTCATTTTGACACAGACATATCTTAGCACCACATAAGCAATCTGATTAAGACCAGAACACCAATAAAAGATCTGGTTTCTGATGTATCCTTAAGGATAACTTTATAGACACTTTTTTTGCTTATCTTTTATTTATTGAAAACCATTCACTTAACTATACTTACACTGTTGAGAACAGAATGGTAAATAAGAGTATTCTTGTGCTCAACAAGATTGGAGATAACTAGATCACTTAATTAGAAGTTAAAACTAACTTTTACTATGGATGTAAGCATAAAATTTTTAATTAAGTAGTGCAATCAGCTCAGATTCAGGAGATTAAATAAAAAATATGAATAGCAGTACAAATACACTAACCCACATCCTGAAGCCTCTCCCTGCATTTCATGTCTCTAGCTGCCATTCCATGTTTTTGGCTTTTTCACAAGAAAATTGATTTTAACAATCATTCTCAAAATCCCTGCCTCTGCCCACTAACATCCTATTATTTCTTTGACCAGCCTCATTAATCTTTCATTCCAGTATTCCACTGCTGTCACTCCTGCTAAGGTCCCCAGTGCCCCTCAGCACTACTAATTCTCTAGCAGAATTAATTACACTCTTTTTGAAATACTTTGTCAAACCAACAGTGAATTCTTGGACAAAACTGGCCAGTAGAACCCCTGTAGTATAATCTTTTGTCCTTTCAACTGCTTTCCACGAAGCTAGAGCTCACTTTCACAGTATGAGATCAAAATTGTTTTGCTGATAGAGCATTTTAATAAGACCTGAAAAAAAATTACATGAATATTACCAGTTTAATTCT